ATATCATCTTGGTTCAGTTATTATAATGGATGTGAATCTAGGAATGTATCCATTTCTTCTGAATTCTCCAGTTAGAATACAAGTTGGTGAAGTAGTTGCTAATCTTAGGAATTTTAGTGTTATTTGTTGTGATTTTTTATGTTTTTCATTTCTAATTGCGTTGATTTGGATCTTTTCCTTTTTGAGGGGTAAGACTGGCTAAGCATTTGTTTAGTTTATTCTTTCAAATAATCAGCTCTTTGATTCAACTGATTTTTTAGTTTTTTGAGAGGGAGCTGTCTTCATTGATTTCTGCTCTGATCTTTATAATTTCCTTCCTTGTACTAGCTTTGGATTTGAATTGTTAATGTTTTTCTACAACCTTGAGGTGCATTATTAGATTATTTGAATTTGCTTTTTTCTTTTCTTTTCTTTCCTTTTTTTTGAAGTGGGCATTCACATCTATAAACTTCCCTCCTAGGACTGCTTTCATTGTGTACTATAGGTTTTGGTATGATGTACTGACATTATCTTTTAATTCTAAGGAAGTATCTTGTTTTGCCTTTAATTTCTTTTTTGATCTGCTGATCAAGAGTGTGTTGTTTCATTTCCATACATTTGCAGTTTCTGTGGTTTCTTTTGCTGTTGGTTTTTTGTTTCATTGCACTGTGATCTGGTAATTTGCATGGTAAAATTTCAAGCTTTATTAGCTTATATGTGGTCTGTTTTGCAGAAAGTACCATGTGCTGCTAAAAAGAATGTGTATTCTGGGGCCTAGGATTTAGCTCAGTGGTTCCGCTGCCTGCCTCGAAAGCACAAGGTCCTGAGTTTGATTCCTGGTACCAAAAAAAAAAAAAAAAAGAATGTGTAGTCTGTTGTTGGATGGAATACTCTGTAGATATGTTTTAAGTCCATTTTCTCAAGGATTTGGTTCAACTCTGACACTTCTTCGTTAATTTTTAATTTAGGTGATCTATTTGTGATAGTGGAGTATTGAGGTTCCCCCACTATAATTATATTGATGTTTATCTGATGTTTTTGTCCATTAGTGTTTGTTTTACGAAGTTAGGTGCACTATGGTTTGTTGCATATGTGTGTATAATTGTTAATGTCTTACTGTTGATGCAGTGTCTTTCTTGTCTCTTTTGATCAGCTTTGGTTTAAAGTCCATTATCTTAGTATCTCTTTGCTGGGACAAAAGATTGGACACCCACAAGTTAAAGGAGGAAAGGTTTATTTTAGCTCATAATTTGTAGAGATTTCAGTCCATGGTCAGCTGGCTCCAGTGTAGGGCTGCATGGCAGAGGGGCCTGGTAGAGAAGAAACAAGTCCATGGCTTGGCAGGCAAGAGGCAGCAGATAGCCAGCCAGTCTGCCTTTTCCTTTTTCTTCCATTCAGGCTACAGGCCTATTGTTTGGCACTGCTCACGCCCCGGGTGGGTCCTCTGTCCTCTAAAACTATTCATTGTCACCCAGAACTATGCTAATCCAATCAGGACTGATCCAGTTATCACTCAGCCATAACCCAGCATTACACACCCATGATCCAGTCACTCCCAGAAGCCCCACTGGGAGCACATGAAGCTTTGTGGGACATTTTAGATATAAATCATAACATCCACTTTGAGAACAGCATAGCTCTTCCTGCTTGTTTTCGGGTTCTCATTGCAAGGAACATTGTTTTCATTCTTTGATTTTTAGTCTATAAATTTCTTTTTGTGTTGGATGTATTTCTTGTATACAGCATTGGATCTTGTTTCTTGATCCATTCTGCTAATCTGTGTCTTTTGATTGGTGAGTTGAGTCCATTCACATTGATAGTTACAATTGATAGTTATTGACTTATTCCTTTCTGTGTATTATTTATTTATTGTTTTGCTTTCTTTCCCTTCATAATTGCTATCCCTGCTTGAGGCATTCATTCTCTTGGACCTTTTGGCATTGTTAGCTTCATTGTCTCTTTCTAGGATATCCTTGAAAGTTTTTTGAGTGTTGGTTTATCTTTTCGAATCTGCTTTGAAGCTGATCAGTACATTCTTTTTGTGATACTATATTTTATATTTTTAGAATTTCCCTTTTTAAAGGTTGTCTTTTATTTTTTGATACTTCTCTCATGTTATTTCTCTTTCTTGACTTAATTGAAGATATTTATGAATGGCTTAACTATGTTGTCTAGATTTCAACGTCTCAGGTTAAATTTATAGTTGTCTTCTCATGCATAAAACTTACTCTAACATCTTGAGCCTGTACTGAAACAGCTTTTACTTTCTCGATCTGTGTGCAAACTGAACTCAAAGTTAAACTTTGTATCAAAAGTCTCAGATCTTTGAATTATGTCAGGAAATCATCTCACTTTTAAATTTAACTTCTTTTTATCGAAAGACTTGTGGCCTAAAAGACAAATTTTGACTACCTGCTTTGTTAAAATCAAGTATTGTCAGACCTGTGAAATTATTCTTAAGCATTGTGTTTAAAATTCTGGATTTGTTCCTTTTTTTTTTTTTGGTACTGAGGATCGAACTTGGGACCTTGCGCTTGTGAGGCAGGTGCTGGAACCACTGAGCTAAATCCCCCACTGTTGCTGTTTCATGTAAACGTTAGAATTCTGTTTTTAGTATTGATAAAATAACTTACAAAGATATTTAATAGATTGGATTGTGTGGTGAGGCAGTTTATTGAAACTTGCAAAATCTGATATTATAACAATATTAATGCTGCTTATCAATAACATAAGGTATTCTTCATTTCTGTAATCTTAATGATTCTTTCACTAGAATTTTTTATTGGTGCCTTGAAAACATCATGGTATCTGTGAATAGTTTATCTCTTCTTTCTCAAACTTGGTGCCTTTTTATTCCTTTCCTCTCCTTACAGACATTTACCTGCAACTTTTGATGTGATTATATGATTTCTTGGTTAAGCTCATTGATATATTATATTGAAGATTAAACATTGAATCACCTAGTTTATGTGAAATAATGACCATGGGTTCTGCTATAAAAATTTAGAAATGAATCATACAAGATCAGTGTAGAATATTTTGTCCTAGAAAGTATGAAAGTGTTTCAAAAGTGCCAAAATGGCCAGACATGGTGGTGCACACCTATGATCCCAGTACTCAGGAGGCTGAGGCAGGAGGATCACTGCAAGTTTGAGGCTAGCCTGGGTTACATAGTGAGACCCTGTCTCAAACCCTCCCTGGGCCGGGGATTTAGCTCAGTGGTTTTGCCACCTGCTGCGCAAGTGCAAGGACCTGAGTTCGATCCCCAGCACTAAAAAAAAAAAAAAGTGCTGAAATTAATATTTTGTTTGTTTGTTTTTGGTACCAGGGATCGAACTTGGGTCCTTGCGCTTGAGCAGCTGGCGGCGAAACCACTAGGCTAAATCCCTGGCCCTGAAATTAATATTTTGAAGCGTGTTAAAAGAAAGTAGGCTAAAAGATCTCCTAGTGCTCAGTGAGCAACAAAATGTGTATTGATAGCATTGGATTATATCCCCCCCAAAGGTTAAATAATAAGAATTGTAGGAAGAAGAGAAAGGAGGGTAAATCATCTCTTATAAAAGAATTCAAGTTACCAAATATAGATGGATAATACAAAATAGAAAATTTCTACTAGAAAACCAAAATGGAAATTTCTGCAGCTTAGATTCACTAATGGAGTGCAAAAAGAATGGGTGAAATTCAAAGGAGGAAAGTATATTGTATAGCCACAATGTATATCTTTCCAGATATCCTTTTCTCTTAATTAAAAAAAAACTATTTATTTAAAGGAAAAATTATATTGTGGAATTTATGTGTAGATATAAAATTCTTTAGTTGCACTAAAAATAGATGTAAGTAAATAGAAGTGTTCTGTGGTAAGGTTTTTCCTTCCTCACAATGATGCCTCAAGGTTAGGGGATCTAGCACAGTAGCCTGTGTACAGTGTGTGCCATGTATTTATAAAAATGTGTTGAATGACAAACAATGATAGTCAATTTTCTACAAAAGTAGCAATACAGACAGTCCTCATTTAAGGACCAAGTTTTGTTCCTTCGACTAGATTGTTAATTGAATTGATTGTTAAACGAGGTGTTGTACATAGTATGTACATTACAGTATTCAGAACAAAGAAATGGTCAAAAGAATAATTTTGCTTTTACTTGCATAACTCTTACATGTACTGTAATAAAACTACTGTACGGTACAGTACTGTAAAAGTCACAGTACTAATACTGTACAAGAAACCATCATCAGGCCACATTACTGTTCACATTCCTGTGCCAGAAGTCCAAATGTGGGTCAAGTCCAAACAGCGTGCCTTGGTCATATGTCCAAACAGTCTTTAACCAGGTAGGTCATTAAATGAGGAATATCAGTAATGTAATGCAGGTACTATGTTTTGGATAAGAGTGCCCCCCCATCCATATATTAAAGGTTTGGTCCTCGGAGTGTTGCTGTTAAAAAGTGTGGAACCCTTGAGAGATGAGGCTTTGTAGGAAATCCTTATGTCACTGGGGAGTATGTACTTGAGGGGAACTGTACACCCCTCATCGCTTTTGTGCTCTCTTAATTCCTAGCCACAAGATGAACATCTGGGCTTCACAACATGCTCCTGTCTTAACTTCTTCACTCCACAGGCCCAGCAACAGGGCCAATCAGTTATGGACTGGATTTTGCAAATTATGAGCCAAAATAAACCCTTTTCTCTTCACAAGTTGATTATCTCATGTATTTGTTAATAGTAAAGGCAAGCTGACTAACAAAGCAGATAAGTCTGAAAGACCCCTATCTGGAGCAAATGTTTTATGTTCATTCCAGAAACAGTTAGCAACTAGTTCAACAAAAGATGCTTTTTTTCTCCCCTTAAAACAGTGGTTTTCAGTCTTGGCTGCATTAGATCTTTAAAGTCATTAATGCCCAGAGCCATCTGTCTCCAGACATTCTGATTTCAGAGGATGGTTGTATCTTTGGATTTTGGAAATCCCAAGTCAGTGACCAAATGGTCAATGTGGTAATTGATTATTATTTTCTTATTTCAGGAACTGTTGACATTCAGTGACGTGGCCATTGATTTCTCCCCAGAGGAGTGGGAATGCCTGGACTCTGCTCAGCAGAATATGTATAGGGATGTGATGTTAGAGACTTACAGAAACCTGGTCTCCCTAGGTGAGGATAATTTCCCTACAGAATTCCTTTTTAACTATCAACAATTAATTTCCTTCCTATTTAGAATATCTCTAGGGACCTTCTGCTTTGTGAGAATGGTTTCAGATCCCTGCTTTCAAACAAAAAATGGAGTTTTCTTGGTATAGACAAGAAAATTTTCATGTCATTCTTGTCCTTTGCTTCCATTTTGTTTTTTTGTTTGGTACTGGGGATCGAAGTCAGGTCCTTGTGCTTGTACAGCAGGCAGCGAAACCACTGAGCTAAATTCCCCTTTGCTTCCATTTTAATTGGACTATCTTTTTTTTTTTTGGTCCTAGGGATCAAACTCAGGACCTTGTGCTTGCCAGGCAGGTGTGGAGCCACTGAGCTAAATCCCTGGCCATATATCTTTCACTCTAGATTAATGGTAATATTAGAAATCAGTGACATAAAATATTGCCATATCTCGAAGCCTAAATTCTCCCTTTTAGCCTTAAGTTAGTAGCAATTGAAAATGAAGTTCAGGATCTGCAAATTGAAACTGCTTTCCATTAATTCTAATGGATCTGTATGGAAATCTCTTTTGAAGATATAATTTTCTAGAATGTTCCGTTAGATCTTCTCTTTTATTTTGAGTACAGTACTGGGAGGAAAATGTCAGTTTTGGGAAATTTCAAAGCAAGTATAATATATCATTTTCTAATAAACAGGTTTTGCTGGCTCTACGCCTAACCTGATCACCTTTCTAGAGCAAAGCAAAGAGCCCTGCAATGTGAAGAGACAAGAAACATTGGCTGTATACCCAGGTAGGTGGGAATAAATGAAGCAGAGGACCCACTTGAGAGGTCCAAAGACCAAAGAATAATCCAGGTTTTAAAATGTGGATTCTGAAAACACTGTTGCAATAGAAATGATTTTTCAGAAGCAAAGGGTTATTTTTCTTGCTATCATAGGAGGACACCTCCAGCCCTGTGCTCATTGTACTGTTAAATCCTCTAAGAATCCTCCTCCAGTGATCTCGCAGGACATTTATAGTAACAGCCCAAGTCTTTCCCTTCACCTGTGAGTGTGTCTTCATGATCTGAGTACCTTTCCACTGCTTTTGGTTTCCTCAGAAAATTTGTGCACATTTTAAAAGACTTCTATGTTACTCCATTGATGTCATATATTATTGACATCGTAGACATTTCCGTGATATCATATATAGATTTATTCATTAAATACTGAATATTGTCTCATCTTTTGAATGAATATAATGCATATTCTGTGTAATTTCCTGCCATACAGTGAATCAGAAATTCAAAATATCTACTCTTTGTGGATATATGATCATAGCTGAGAACTGTAGTTATCAAGAATGATTTTTAGAATTGCATATCAAGGTTTAGTCAGGATTATGTAACATTAATCTTTATTTCTTGGGATTGTTTTTCCTTTGGACATGTATTTTGTATAATGTAATTATGGCCACTTTTTCTCTTCAGGTCAGTTTTGTAAGGAATATCATAGCTGTTCTCTCAATTTCAGCCTTTTTATGTTCTTAAATCTTTTTTTGTTTGTTTTTGAGACAGGGTCTCACTTTGCAGTTCACTCTGTCCTTGAACTCACTATGTAGCCCAGGCCGGCCTTGAACTCATGGCAGTTCTCCTGCCTTAGCCTCCCCAGTGCCACAATGTGCCACCATGCCTGGCTTATGTACTTAAATCTTAAAAGAATATCCTGTAGATATTATCTAGTGGGGTTTTTAGGCTTTTTTTTTAGGCTTATTTTTGCTTTTGTTTTTGGTACCAGCGATTGACCTCAGGACCTTGCACTTGCAAGGCATGTGGTGGATCCACTGAACTAAATCCCCGGCCTTAGGCTTATTTTTATTATCCAATTTATTCTTTTTACTAAAGTGTTTAATCCATTTATATTTTTAAAAATTACTGGAAATGCAGAAATTAATATTACCTTTTTCTTAACTGCTTTCTGGATTTCTTAGAACTTTTTTCCCCCTGGTACTGGGGATTGAACTGAAGACCTTGCGGTTATGAGGCAGGCATGGTACCACTGAACTAAATCCCCAGGCTCCCCATCCCTTTTATATTTATGGTGGCATATTTTGATTTCTCTCCCATTTCATTTTTGTGCATTTTTTATTACCATGAGGATTTTATGAAAGAATGTTGAACATACAACATTTATTTTAAACTGGTAAGAAATTAACTTTAATCCATATGATAATTATCTTTGTATCTTCCCTCAATGTTACGTTACTTGTGTCAAAACTTTTCATGCTATATACCTGTTAACAGATATTTATGATTTTTATGCTTTCTCTTTTCAAATTATATAACAAACGTGTTTTATGCAGATTCGTTACAGTATTATAGAATTCTATTTGCTTGTTTCTGTTTCTCAGCTTTCAAATGACATACATTTTGTGGTGTTAAGAAACATTATTTTACTTTTCAATGAGGTTTCCCTTTAGCATTTATAATAATGCAGTTGCAATGCTTATTTGAGCATTTGTTTATCTTGGAAAGTTTAACTTTCTGTCACTTTGAAGAACAGTTTTATTGTATTCAATATTCTTGGCAGTTTTTCTCCTCAACACGTGGAGCATCCAGGAGATCCCTATTTATTTCTCTCTCTCCAAGCATATCTCCTAAGGCTGTCTCTCATCTGGTCTCTGTGATAGGGTATCTCTTCAGTCCTGAAGCAAAACTTTCCTCCTGGCCATTGGCCTCTTCTTTAATTAGGTCAGTCCTGTTGGTTACCCACTCTATTGCCCTGTGCTGTGGAGAATCCGGGGACGACAGGTGGAGTGCACCATTCCTGGGTCCTCGTGACACTGGTGGCTGGAGGTGGGATGTGTGCTTGCCTTCTCCTCCTGGGTCTAGCTGGTACAAGACTCCAGGGTGGTGGTTGCATGATTTTATTCATATGTGAAATCTAAAACAGTTAATCTCAAATGTATAAGGTAAAATAGTGTTTACCAGGGTCTGTGGTTGTTCAGGAAGAAGTTAGGCAGATGTTGGTCATAGTCTATGAAATTTTAGTTAACTAAGACATAAGAAGTTCAAGATTTATATTGTAAAACATAGCAAGTACAATTAATCTGCTGTAGTTTTGAGAAATGCTAAGAGAATGTCGTGTTCTGAGCATAAAAATTGTGTTTAATAATGTTTGTTTTTAATTAGCTAGATTTAGACTGTTCACTATCCAATTACTTCAAAACATGATTAACATGGTAAATATTGTATATATGGTTTAAATAATAAAATATCAATTTCATAAAAAATACGAAAATTATTTTTCTAATCTCTGGATTGGCAACCTTTAGGGAATACTGACGGCAGTCATTGTGCTAGGAACTGTTGGAGACTCTCAAATCTGTTTTCATATATATATCCTCTAGAATTGGGTTTGCGTTTTTCCAGTTTAAAAGGTCTTAAGAACTTTTTTGTTAAGTTTGGTTTTTTGAGACAAGGTCTTGCTATTTAGTTTTCAGGCTGGCTTCAAACTCACTATGTAGCCCAGGCTAGCCTGGAACTCACAGCGATCCTCCTGTCTCAGCCTCCTGAGTGCTGGGACTACAGATGTATGCCACCATGCCTGGCTTAAGAACTCATTTTTTTAGGGCCGGGGATTTAGCACATTGGTGCTGCCACCTGCCTTGCAAGCACAAGGTCCTGAGTTCAATCCCCGGTACCAAAAAAAGCAACAACTCATTTTTTATTCTACTACTATTGACTTGCAAGTGGCATTGCCATCTTTTGCTACTATAATTACTGCCTTTTGTTTCAGCTGTCCTGAACTTTTTTTTTTGCGTACCAGGGATTGAACTTGGGACCTTGCGCTTGCACGGCAGGCGGCAAAACCACTGAGCTAAACCTCTGGCCCTTGTCCCGAACTTTTTGTCAAAACATCCCTATGATTTCCCACACTGTTTAGACAGAGGGCAGTTTTCAGAAAGCCCATATGAAACTAGAAATGTGTCTATATGTTCCACTGTCTTTTTTCAGTCTTGTGGGAGAAGGAAGGGATTTTTCATAATTACACTGTGCTTATCAGGAGGACATAGAGCTGTCCTAGACAAAAATAAACTCTTTTGTCAATAACCTTCCTTTCTTATATGTGACTGTCAGTGTTATGGTTACTTGCAGTGCTATGTATACTTACCTAGTTTTGGGAATTTTGACAAAGATAATCTTGGTAGTGTATCATTATTGAGTCATTATAGGGAAGAGAGGGCCTTGTGTTTAATATTCTGCTACCATAGTGATAACTTTAGGTTGAGATATATATATATATATATATATATATATATTTGTTTTGTTTTTCAAAACTTGGATTGCTAATAACTTGGTCTGCAAGTGTTCCACAAGATGAGCAAACATTTCTAGTAAATTTTAACTTGATAAACAAGCAATGTCTTATAATACGTCATGTATGTCATGTATGTCATGTATGTCATGCCAAATGTCACATGATGACAACTGGTTCTTCTTTCTCTCTGTCAGTGCTTTGATATACAAGTGCTTTTGATTATGAGCAGAATGAATTATTCTTTTTTTTTTTTTTTTTTTGGCACCGGGGATCGAACTCAGGTCCTTCTGCTTTCAAGGCAGGCGGTGGAACCACTGAGCTAAATCCCCGGCCCAGAATGAATTATTCTTGCAATTCAAGGTTTTACTGTGTATTACATCATTAGTATATCATATATGTATTATTAATCTAATATGTATATTACATCAGTTGAACACAAGGCCTTCACACTGAGCTTTTTTTTTTTTTTTTTTAAGAGAAGGTCCTATTAATTCCTCGTTGGGTTTGCAGTTGCAGTCTACCTGCTTCAGTTTTACTGAGGGCTGGGATTTCAGGAATGCACCACCATGCCCAACATTGACATACTTTTATATATTAGATTTGTAAGCTGTATTCACCACTCTCATAATGTGGCATAATTTGTTATTTTGATTTCTTTCAGCTGTGTCTTCTCATTTTGCCCAAGGCATTTCATCAAAACAGGGCAGAAAATGTTCATTCCAGAATATGACAGAGGAAAGGCACAGTATTTGTGGCCATGACAACTTATATTTTAAAAAAGAATGGGAAAATATGGGCGAGTATGAAGATCAGAATGCAAGTTATAATGGATGTAACAAATTTGTGATAACTAAAGAAAGCAAAAACTTCATTGTCAGCAGAGATAAACATATAGTATTTCAGAAAAAAACTGAGTTTGTGCCTGCTACTTTTAAAGACCCACATGTTTTTGTAGGTGAATATTCACATCAAATTTTGAAACATGCCTTTTCTCTCAAAAGAAATTTGGAAAATCTAAGAATGAGACCGGTTCATGCTTTAGTTCATCACTTGAAAAGTTTTAAATGTAACATTGGATTAAATTTTGAACCATTCATTTTGGTAGACAATAAATCTGAAAGTGAAGAGCAAATTCCTAACTGTAATCAGTTTAGTTTTTTCATGAAAGGTTCATTAGTCTGTAATCAACAAATATGTCTTCCAAATACCAAGGTAAACAGTGTTCATGAATATGGGATGTTATTTACCCATCCATTATTGCCCAATCAAAATCTGGATATAGGAATCTACAGTTGTAAAGAATGTGGTAAAGCTTTTAAAAGTTCTTCAAATCTTACGAGACATGAGAAAACCCATAGTGGAGAGAAACCTTACAAATGTAACGAATGTGGAAAAGCCTTTAATAATTGCTCATACCTCAGTCAGCATCAGAGGATTCATAATGGAGAGAAGTTATATAGATGTGAAGAATGTGGCAAAGCATTTAACTGGTTTTCACGCCTTACTATACATCAGAGAATTCATACTGGAGAGAGGCCATATAAATGTGAAGAATGTGGCAAAGCCTTTAACTGTCGTTCACATCTTACTCGACATCAGAGAATTCATACTGGTGAAAAACCCTACAAATGTGAAGAATGTGGCAAATTCTTTACTCATGGTTCAAATCTAACTCAACATCAGAGAATTCATACTGGAGAGAAGCCTTTCAAATGTAATGAGTGTGGCAAAGCCTTTAATAAGCGCTCAAACCTCTCTTTACACCAGAGAGTGCATACTAGAGAGAACACATACAAATGTGAAGAATGTGGTAGAACCTTTGGTACTTGGTCTACCCTTTCTATACACCAAAGAATTCATAATGGAGAGAAACTTTACAAATGCAAAGAATGTGGGAAAGCCTTTAGCTATTCTTCTGTCCTTAGTCGACATCAGAGAATTCATACTGGAGAGAAACCCTACAAATGTAAAGAATGTGGCAAAGACTTCAGACATGATATAAGTCTTACTCGACATCATAGAATTCATAGTGGAGAGAAGCCCTACAAATGCAAGGAATGTGGTAAAGCCTTTATTCGCTGCTCCCATCTCACTCAACACAAAAGAATTCATACATGACAGAATGTTTTCAAATGCAAGCAATGTGGCGTAAACTTTAACTTTCTTTCTATCCTTAGTAAATACAGAAAATTCATAATGTAGAGAAGCCATACAAATGTAAAGAATGTGGCAGCATTTCAAATGGCTCAACTTAACAAAAGAGAACTCATACCAATGGAGAGAACACTTACTCTACATTACAGAAATTATACTGGATAAAACCTCTACAATTGTAAAGAATTTCTTGAAATCATTACTAATTGAAACCCTACAAATGTAAAGAATGTGGCAAGGCTTTTAATAGAAGTTCAATCCTAATTCAGCATGAACCCAGGGTGATTAAACTTCAATGTTTGGACAATGCTATTTGTTTAAGTTATTTATTTCTCTTAAAATTTGAAATTATTATCATTATATGAGTATAATAATGTCACAGATGTTTGAATCCTGAATTAAATGCCTACAGAGTTTGCCATTAATGTACATTAACTGAAATATAAGAACCTTAAAATCTTACAAATTTTGCAAATAAGAGAACTATAGAAATATTTATTATGGTTATGAGTTCATTTATATCTGTTGATAAGGAGTTGGAATTTGTGGAACAAAAGATTTTTTAAAAAGACTTAGTCCTTTATTAGCAAACCAGAAACTTCACGTATGTGAAAAATCTGTGTTTATACTAAATTTATCCATATAAAATGTCATGGTTCCTACTCTAAATCTCCCTATACTAAATATATATTTTTTTCCCAATTCTTCGTTACTTACGAAAAACCTTAAAAGGCTTAATAGATGAAAGTTTATAAAATTTTGTTTATGTGACCTGTTCAGAGATTTTAAGAACTTTTTTTATAAGTGTGCTCATCTTTTCTTGTTGCTTACTAGCTAGCTCACTCACCTACATGACACCTGTTGGGCAGATAGACTGCAGGGGTGATGACCACACATGTGTGCCACACACACTGGGCTCCCCTCTCTACACAGCTAGAACCCACTTGATGGGGCCCTCCCCTCATTATGTACATTTTACATGTGGTGTTCACGCCACACTTGTCATACACCACCACCCTATGAGTCACTTGGCATGAGGGGGCAAGTATCTTCAGCAGCCGGTTGCATACTTGAGGATCATCACTGCAGGGAAGACTGTTGGTGTGGGTGACCACAAACACCTTGCTAAAGTTTGGCAGACTTATCTGGGGTGAATTTAAAGGTTAGAAAAGCCTAAGTTGTCTTAAGCTGAAATTTTAAAATATAAGCTCTCATCATTGAGATTTTATTAAATAACAGACTTTGCACTGATTTATTACAAGTTCAGCCCAATCATTCTTCCTACAACAAAGTGTACCTTCTTCCTAATGTACCTTCTAAGCAAGGGCCTCATGGCTTCAGATAGTTTCAGTGCCTTATAATTGAAGAGCATTAGAAACTCGTGGCTCTCTGGTTGTACCACATAGACAAATGGATTCAGTATCTGGAACAGAGTTTCTATTGTTGTATTGAGAGAATGGGAATAACCCCCCAGAATTACATCCAAGGGATTTTTTTGGGGGGGGTACCGGGGATCGAACTCTGGTCCTTGTGCTTGCGAGGCAGGCACCGGAACCACTGAGCTAAATCCCCGGCCCCGCCCCAGAATTATATGGAGGAAAAATAACACCTGACTGGTCAGCAAAAGACAATTTAAATGCAAATATTTATAGTCATTGTATAACTTGTGTACAAAAAACCTCAATGCAATCTTAAGAGAACATTAACTAGTTCTTTTAGAACATAAGGAGGCAACCCCTGGGGAAATCTTAAAGGAAAGGAAAGCAAAAAACCTGGAGTTAATATGCCAGTCTTTTCACTGACTATTAAAAGTATTGTAGGGCACTTACATTCCATAAATCAGCCATTCTCATAGGCAGTGCTATACGCATTATTATAGCCTCCTGTTGATCAGCATAGATCCCACAGCACTGACCTCAGCCTGTGTGTCCAAGATGCAGGAGAGGGCAGCACAGTAGCAAGTTCTATCCTGCCCTTTGTCCCTGAGGCAGTCATAGGAACTAGAATTTCCCTCTATAAAGCCAGTTGTAGATCCTAGGATGACTGCTCCCTGATCACCTTCTGAAGATCTCCTGGACAAGTGTCTGGCCTCCCCATGTCCAGGGAAGGGACAGGAAAGATCTCAGCAACCCTGCCTGGGTGGAGCCTCCGTTCATCACCACCAGGTCACTTGTCCTTTTCCAGGCATATTTCTCCATAGCTGTTTATTTTTTCGTCAATTTAGCATAAAAGTTGTTTTGTTTGTTTTTAGGTTGTTGGGCCTTCATTTTGAAGGTTCCCGTGTCTCCTACAACTTTGGTTAAATTAATGTGTTCTACTTTTGTCTCACTAATCTATTTTGTTGCCCAATATCAGCTGTGTCCCTGAGGGTGGGTGAGGAAACTGTTCTTCTTCCCACACTCCTCACCCTGGCAGAGGTAGAGTATGACATTCACTTCCTTGGAGATATCCCTCACCCTCCCTCCTCTTGTTCCACTGACCCACGGGACTCTGAGGGAGCTGCACTCAGGCTCCCATCCTGTATCCACTGAGTGGTGTTGGAGCTGGTCCTGCCCCCCCCCATTCTGCCCCTCTGAAGTCACAACACCTTGAAGAAAGGTGTTGCACCCCTGACCTGCTTTTTAGTGAGGTATTTGTAGCTCCTAGAACTCCCAGGGTTTTGTCTCCAGTGATCAGCCCAGACACTAGACCAGGAAGCTCTGACCTGGACACTGCACTGCTGTCCAGATACCCACCCTCAGAGGGGATTTAACCACTCAGGAGTGTGGGCAGAGCCTTCATGCTCCCTGAACCCTGGGTCTCTGGTCTCTGTGCTCCACTGCTACGCCTATCTTCTGTTTGCCATTACTGCCTACATCAGCTCTCTCCTGAGCACTATAAAAAAGCTTAAACCGAATAAGATAGTGGAAGGGACAGAGAAAGGGGAAAATGGAAGTGAAACTTAAAAAAAGAAAATGCCGATGAGAAGGAGGAGAGAAAGTGAGGTAAAAATTCAATAAGAGAGAAATAGAATAGGTAAAAGTAACAGAAAAAACTAGGAAAAAAGAAAAATAATAAAGAACAAAAAAGGAAAACAACAAAACAAAACAAAAAACAAGGAAAAAGAAAAAGACAAGAATTTCAGGAACCAAGAAAGAGTGAACAGGAAAGCTATAAATTGCAGAGAAAGTGGAGAAATTGAAGATAACACAGAGCAAAGAACAAAGCACTCTGGCACACAAACCTTGGCTCCTAGAAAGGGGTATCTATCTCCACAAACACAAGGTAAACCCAGAGAAGGTTGGTGGGCCCAGTGAAAAACAATGGACCAACAGTGCTAGCCCCATGAAAAGCTCAAGGTTATTGTAAGCTGCAAAATTAGTGTGTGGTTTCTGAAAGTGACTCTTGTGTAGCAGGCTAGCATTGCAGCACCGCCACATATAGGGGTGATATGGTTAGGAGCCATTTTGAGAAGGGGTTTATGATTTAGAATTAAGCTGTTCCAGGAATCAGAAGTAACAGAACCACCACACTTCAGGGTCTTTTGGGTCATCCTACCACAGTGAGTGAGTGGGTGATAACCACAGTAGTCAGTTACAGAGAGCAGGAGGGTTAACAGACCTCCTGAGATGTTTAAGTAGCATCAAGCTCAAGCTGTGGACACAGTGATCCTACTCTCCATGATGAGAATCCATGCTGGTTGGATGTTTTCTGAGGGCACTGGGCCTGAAAGCGCTAGCACTAAGTCCAGCAAACTAATTTGGCTTATCCTTGCTGCCAATTTCCAGGACAGGATTCAGTTGTTTGTTTGCTTTTGCCATCTGTCAGTGTGATCAGAGATATGCTTCAGCTTGGGCATTTTTCATATTCCACAGTGTGCTGACAGAGGAGCCTCAGGAGCAAAGAGGATACTTCACAAGCCCACAGGCCACAAAGCTATTCAGGGATCACAGTAGTTTGAGGCACACAGAAGGGCACAAAAAGCTGCAGGATTGCATACATCATTAGGGAAAACAACACATCACTGGCTCACCTTTGGCTCTACTCTCACAGCTTCATGCACTTTCAGAGGCTCTTTATATGGTCTTCCAGGCCTTCCACTGAAATCTGGGTGGAAGACTCCATGACCCCACAGCTCTTGCAATCAACATGCCTGTAAACCAGCATCATTTGGATGCCAAAGTCTTCTGTCAGCTCAAGCAGTCGCTAGGCCCCCTTGGACTATGATTACAGTGACTTCTGGATTTCTGGATGCTAAGCATGGTGGAATTAATTACAAGGAACCAATTCCATGAATGGCCTTCTTGAGCAAGGGAGCCCACGGGCTCTCTTCTCAAATGAAAGGGGCTCTGTTTTGCACATTTGTCCTTGGGATAGGTGGTGTTGTGCTGATCCTTGAGATGCATTTAAGCCATCTTTTCTATTTTCCTAATACAAAGTACTTGGCTTTTAAAAAATGTTAATCTTTTTAGTAATCACGGTCTTCATGGTCCCAACTTTACAAGTGCTTCCTTTCTGGCCAAGCTGCATGTTTCCCACACCATCACACACACACTCTCTCCCCTCTCCCTCTCTCAGGATTTTTACTGTAGATAAGCCTAAAAGCAGCCAGAGGTACCCATGCCACAGCCTGAAATTGGATTGCCCTAAAGTTTCTTCCACAAGATTAGTACATCACATTTAATCTTAGTCTCCTACAAAGTCTCAGGACAAAGGTAAAATGAAGACAAATGTTCTACCAGAATGTAACACACATGGCCTCTAGCCCAACAGTCAGTGGAGTCCTTGTTTCCCAATGTAATCTCTTGGGACTGGCCTCTACTGTCCACGTACCTATCAACATTCTGGTCTTCTGAGACCTAAGCTCTATCACATATCAAGGACTGCTCACAACTTTCCAGGGCTTCTCTAGCCAACATCTCCAAACTTTCCCAAACCCCTCATACAAACCCCCTCTAAAGGCTTAACCACTTGGTCAGGTATAATACCAACAACAGCCCCACTTCTCTGGTAACAAAATCTGGATTAGTCACTTTCCTATTGCTGGGACAAAATACCCAACACTCACAACTTGGGTTTATTTTGACTCATGGCTTCAGTACATGGTTGACTGGTTCCAAGGGAGAAACAGCGTGCCATAGGGAAAAGGTGGAGGAAAGGTGCTTGACCCATGACAGCCAGGAAACAGAGAAGGGAGAAGCTGGGGACAATTATACACCCTTCAGGTACTGTCTCCACCACTTCCAACCAGTCCCACCTCTTAAAAGCACATTCAGTTACTGGATCCACCGATGGATGAATCCACTGATACACATAGCACCTTCTGTGAGCCAACCACCTTCCAAACATAGTAGACTTTTGGAGATGTTTTAGTTTTAAACCATAAGAGGGATCTAGTAATAACCAAGAAAAGGGAGATCAGACTCCTCCTGAAGCAAAGAAAGCAGCAACACTTTATGGATTTGTTGGTGTTGACCAAAATCCTGTATGTGTGGATTGGCTAAGGTCATGATTTTAAGTTTCTTCTTGTATAAGACATGGACTGCAAAATGATGGTTAACTTTTCCTAGGGATTGCCAAGTTGCTGTTGTAGCTTGTTGCCATTATCCTGTGCAAACATTTTGGCCTTATGGTTTAGCCTAGGCCTTGTGATAGGGATGAAGGATTCTAGGTGCTCAGGTTGAAGGTGCTGAAGAAACACAGATGTCGGGGTGAAGAAGAGGGGAGAAAGTAAAATACTAGCACTAATGGGAAATGTGTTAAATTAACCCCATATCATAGTCTTAAACAACATTTTTAAAGGGTAGACATGTTTATATGCAGAGATGAATAGAAACTAAGAGTTAAGACAGCAAAGGGGATAGACAAAAATAAAAGATGTATAACCATTTATTCCATTTGAATCACAGGTAAGATATCTGTAGGCTAAAGTGAAGAGTTGGTATTTTCAGCAAAAGCAGCCTTCATGTTTCTGAAAGGTAATCCAAGCAACTGTTATAATAAACCATACTTCAGAGATGTTATCTATAGCAAAGCTAGGGCGAAAACTATAACATATTATCTAGCTCTGTGACCTCTAATATTAGTGCCTACTAAGAGCAAGAAAAGCTATAAGGGTTGTTCCTATTGCCCTGAAAACAATAATCTATTTTTGAGTAAACATTCTGCTTGTGTGGTTTACTTGGTCTCGGGATGGGTATTAAAAAGAGCAAAATCAGATGGGCGTGATGGCACATGCCTATAACTCCAGCACTCTGGGAGGAAGGCAGTAGAATCACAAGTTCAAATCCAGCATGGCCAACATGGTAGTACCCCATCTCAAAATAAGAAATAATGGAGGGCCAGGGATTTAGCTCAGTGGTGCCATGCCTGCCTCACAAGCACAAGGTCCTGAGTTTGATCCCTGGTACCATCACCCCCCTCCCCCCACCAAAACAAAGAAAACAATGGCCTTGGGGATGTAGCTCATTGGAAGAGCACACCCTTGGGTTCAATCTCAAATACCCACAAATAAAGTAAGAAAATAAACAAAGTGAGGAAAATATTAGAGCACCTGCCATACTACAAATGGTAATGGCTTTTTGTAGTGATTTGTCACTCCAACCTTTTGTTCCACCATAGTAATCTCTTTCTTAAACTCACCACTCCCCTCATACTATTCTGATGTGGGCTTAATATGTCATAACTTAAAAGATGGCTTGATAGAGAACAACCATAAAAGTGCAGATTTTCCTAGGCCCTGAAAATCAATGCAAAAGCAGTCAGATTATGCAGGCCCTCACAGGCCATGGCAAGAATGTTGGCTCTCATTGTGAATTTGTAAAGAATCAAATAATTTAAGATATTCCTCTGGAAAAACATACAGACAAGAAAAAACCCCTAGGCTTTTCAGAAAACATTTCCTTTGAAGAGTTTTCCAATTCCTATTTGAAGAACCAGCTTCGTCCCTGATGTTTGGATCTGTTTTGTGTGCCATTTGCTTTATGTGCTATCAAATTTGTTGGGTGTATGACTGTTGTCTTCTACTATTACCTGCAAGACTGTGTAATTTATACCAAAATCATGACCAGGACTGACTTTGAGAAAAGATGACATCTTATGCTAGAAAGTCACATGATTCTTGCTGAGGATTCAATTTCCAACTTAATACTGTATTAAGCTGAAATGAGGGAACATTACAAAACTCCAGGAAATCATATCTTAGAAACACTGCTTCTTGACAAAATGTTTAGAATATTTAAGGAGCACTCTGAATTTGCAAATTTAGATCTTCCTGTCTCAGCCTCACAGAGTGCTGGGATTATGGATGTGTACCACCACACCTAGCTTAAAACCCCATTTTTTGAAAGTAGGAATGTGACACTCATTCATACAGAGCAAAAGCTCCCAGGAAAAACTATATAATTGAAGGAAATGAAACACTGTGGATTAACAATTTTGTAGGAATGTTTCTAAAAATTTTTTTTTTTTTTTGGTACCGGGGATCGAACTCGGGACCTTGCGCTTGCGAGGCAGGCCCCAGAACCGCTGAGCTAAATCCCTGGCCCAATTTTGTAGGAATGTTAAAAGTTTCAATAGTTTTCTAATATCACATCCTTACAAAAGTTAGCACGGAGCAGGGGTCACAGGGATTATCAGTTCTCTGCAGAGAATTCTATTGCCACACCATTAATGTCAACACATTCTGAAATAAAATTAAATGAAACATAACTCTTGGCTATGTAGTGAAGGGCAGAGTTCTTACTTTGATCCAAGATGAAGAAAATTAAGAGAATTGTTTCTGAATTATGTAACCTGAATTAACGAGACACTTTAAAAACATAGTAACAACAACAACAAAAAACCCCACATAGCAACACTCTTGTGTATTGTCCTCTGTTGTTTAGTGATAGAAAGTACTGGGTTGGCTCTTCAGTTTAAAAAAAAAAAACAGCTAATAAAGTGAAAAATCTAAAAATTTTGAGAGTTTCACAATTGAGAGCAGTAATTAAAACAAATTAGATTTCAAATTTATAACATAATGCTTATATGCAGATAAAATTATGGTTAAATATGCATTAAATTACTTTTGTGCAAATGAAACTGGGAAGTAATTTTAACTGTATAACTTTTACAAATTTATCTGTTCGTGTTTTTAGCTCTTTATAGAGACCATGGAGGTTTTCACACAGAATGATTGAAAGAATAAAGGGCATTTTTGCTGAGCCTGCTTTTTAAACTGTTTTATTTATTATATGCTTGGATTTTAGAATATTAAGACGCTTGGACAAGTATTAAATAATTTTTTTAAATATAAAGAATATAGAGGTCATCTGTGATGTGACAAAATGCAAAACTACAGGACTGAGACTTATTTCATAAACTCCATTTGCAAAAGTTAATATGGACTAAGCAAATGTCTGCTTCCAAAGGAATCTACAAGCAAAAGGAAACTAAGGGGAATATTCTATACTGAATGTATAAGCATATGCATTTCAGTCAGTAAATAATGCCAAGATACTTAATAAATGATAAACAGAAAAAATATTTATTTTTACAGGAGTCTGGCACAGAACAACTAAATTAATGAGTTAAAAATCAGCTGTAATATTGTTATGTGGTACTGATATATACAAAGGGAACATACTCCGGTGATATTAGCTGCAAAAAAGTAAATAGTACAGCAGCACCTGAACTTCATCATTAAACAAAATCATTCTGTAAAGTTCAAGACATTATGTCTCTCATGTCCTATAAATCTCAATACTTTTTTTTCCCGGTACTGGGGATCAAACTCAGGACCTTGCTCTTGCAAGGCAGGCGCGTGCCACAGAGCTAAATCCCTGGCCTTCAATACTCTTAAATAGTATTTCCTTAGCTTTTTAGAAGTATTTTATAATTCTGATTTCTTTAAGCACTTTCTGGTGCATTCAATGTTATGATCTTCATACTTTCAAGTGTGCATTATCAAAGGACTTGTCTACATAGAACTGATAGAACATCCAGATGGAATCTAAACATTGTATGTTCCTCTTCGGCACTGGTATTACAGGACTTATTTCCATTAACAACAGCCATAGAGTATCTACACATTCCAGGTTAACTATCAAAAAAGAACATCTTCTAAACTGTAGCTCATAAATTCATGGAGAAAAATGTTCATGGCAATAGGATGCTGTGGTGAATAGCATGATGAGAATGTGCCAGCATATCGATGAAATGTATTCTAAAAAAATCTAGACTATCATAACAAAGGAAGAAACAAAAATGGGAAATAAACTCAAATAGGCAAGAACACCAGAAATGAAATAATAATAGTTAGAATGGTCCGCATACATAACGCTTCAGGAGAGAGACTGGCCAATCACCTGACCCAGAACACATTTACCTGAGAACAGGCATTTTACTCTTCTTTTCCTTCTGTTTCTTCTTCAGGCAAGCAAGGCTATCTCAACAAATCAAACATTCACCTTGAGGATTTAAAGTGATATCAGCATAACCCCTTTACACACTTTCACACCCACAGAAAGAATGACAGTAAAGACTGCCTTCCCTGGCTCGCATTATAGTTGAGACTCAAGAATAATGAGCTCCTACATGGAGACCAAAATGTTAGTTTCTCCTTTCAGGCCTGCAGGTGCTCTCCCCTGCCAAACCAATTTTTGCTACAGAACTAGAAATATGGGTTAAAAAAATATGGATTACTGTGATGTGTCCCTTTCAAATCATGCTTATCAAGTCCTGCTTGTCACTAGCCTTTGGAAAGGGCTAAACTCAACTGTCCTAAATGTATCTGGAAGATCTTGTGCTTAACTCTGCTCTCATTAAACAATTAAGTGGAGCAGGTAAAAAAAAAAAACATTCATGCTTTCACTCAGACCAACAGACAAAATCTGGGGATTACATAGGTGATAGAATTTCTTACAGCTGGTAATGTGATGTAAGTTGGAAACTTGGGCTGAAAGCAGCAGTATCTCTCAACTTCATTGTACATATACATCACTTGGTATTCCAGGTTCAGTCTAAGGAATTATGATTTTCTAGTTTTGAGGAATGCTCATAAACTGGCATTTTTAACAAGGTCCCTGTGAAGTCCCAAACCCATTATCAGTAGTACTAAGCTAGAGAAAGAAGCAGAGCAACTTACAACCAAATATCCTATGTCAAAAAGCATCAATCACTATACTGAAATGTGATACTTGCCAGCCTTTTAAAGTGATGGCTTTAACGTGATGGCTAGATATGGTAGTTTATGTCTGAGTAACTCTGCATATGTGAAACATGTATTCACATGCAATATTACTGAGCATGCATGTCTGTGATGAGAAAGCTGAATTTGTATACTACACAAGTTGTGTCATATTAGTTCTTAGATGTTAATATTCACCTTTCAAATTCTTTTTCCATAGCATTGATTTTTTGAAACTTACCTAGAGAACTGACAAGGAATTGGGTGGATAAAAAAAGGCCCTGTACGTAGTTCAGAGGGATTTCATATTTCATAGTGAGGTTATATTTACATTTTCCAAACACCTGGAACAACTATTGGATATGGAGAAATGGTGGGACAACTGTACAAGCCTAGTATATAACAAGACAGAAATTAAGACACCAGCACATTCATAAAGTTGACCCCATTTGTCTGCTTTTTGATTTTTAAGAATTACGAATACTACCTTGAGGTGGGAGAAGCACTGACAAGTCTGAGTTGCTGTTTTATGAGGGTACTGAAGGGCAGGAGACCTGGATAAGGCCTCAGTTTGAGCAGTGAGCTCTAGACTTCTGTTCTTTGTGACACTGGAGTATTAAGTCTTCCCTAAGTATGCACAAAAGAAACTCTCCAAGTCTATGTAACTTTCTTTTGGGCTATTTGGTAACATTAAAAAAAGTCACCATACATCTAGTTTTACATGTACACCACCCATTCTTCCTACTTACCACATGATGCTGAATTCAACAACTAATCTATTTGCTGTATTATGTAGTATTATAGATGGTAGGTTCCATGGGTCTTGTTTCTTGGAACAAGGAATGAAGTGAGGCCAGGGATTTGGCTCAGTGGTGCTACACCTGCCTCACAAGTGCAAGGTCCTGAGTTCAATCCCCGGTACCAAAAAACCCCGACTATTTTATCTATCAGTTTGATCTCCATTCTTCTCAAGAAACATTAAACCACATGAATATGCTTATGGGCACTAACCAGGGGGATTCTTTGGGTGGAGACACTCTAGATGGCTCACTCTCTCCATAATGGCACAAGATTTTAAAAGGATGCCAGCGTAATAGCCCAAGACTTCTAGGTTCTCGCGAGGACCTCCAGTAACCCTGGTCTGATGCCCAAGTAGCTAACCATGCAGGAGATTGCAGCTGACCTTTCGCTGTCAGAATTGGGAACAAAGCTGTGCTTACACAACCACTCCTACATCTAGGTTTGATAGTCCTCTCCCTGATCAACTAACTCTGGGGGTAAAATGTGTACAAAGATTACACAGCTCATAGGCAATGTATTTGTGGGTTCCAAAAAACTGCTATGGTTCATGAATCATTTCCATTTGATGTTGGGTGAAGACAATACAATAACACTGTAAGCACTGGTTTGATACTGGTTCTTTTGTTATACTTACAGATGTGGCATTACCAGGAACCATACACTATTGCAGCAGACAATCAGAAAGACAGCCTTTGGCTTTAGCAAGAAAATGCTGATCTCTTACCATTCAGTAAATGATTTCCCTGGGTTTTTTTTAAACCCCTAGCACGAAAATCTTGTCATGGCTTTGGATCCTAGGGAGAGGCCAAGCATTATATTCATTACATCTGTATATACTACTTTGTATTTTCATTGCTAAAACAAGAGGAAACAGAGACTTGCTCCCATGTACACTATTTTACTGTAAACTCCTAGGCCTTAAAATGAGAATTTTAAACTGCAAATTTAGGGCACTGAAGAGATGCAAAATCGGGTGCTTGCTGCACATTTTATCTTTTTTAGAAAGAGGATGCTGAAGTCAACCATCTCAGGCCAAGTAAATTTGAGTGTCTGTTGGGTTTCTGGGTTACAGAGTCTCTGAATCAGTTTTAAATTGGAAGACATTAGGTCCCTTTAAAAACAGAGCTTGAGGGGCCGGGGATTTAGCTCAGTGGCACTGTGCCTGCCTCACAAGCACAAGGTCCTGAGTTCGATCCCCAATACCAAAAAAAACAAACCCCCAAAACCAGGAAACAGAGCACGAACAGATGACTGCAATCCTCTTAGATTATTTCAGTGCCAACAGTGGGACCTGTGACCTAGAACAAAAAGCAGATGTCATTCTGCAGGCAGATTTGGGAGAAAGGGAATTCTGGGCCCCAAAATTGTGGAATGGGAATTGGAAGCCCAGGAAAGAATTTGGTAGACACCTGTCAGAGGCTTCCCTAGGATGAAGGCTAGTTGGGAATTTTTATGTTCATAGCGGTTTGGTAATGAAGGAAAATTGCATTTTAAAATATATTTCCCTACTTCAGTTATTTTATTTTAAACCATGCAAGATTACCCCGACAAACCACTTATGTATCTTAAGAATTTACTTCAATGTTACTCACACAAACCCTTCATCCACTACCTCCACACTAACAGGAAGAATAACTTCATGATACAATAAAGATCGCCCCCCCCACCCCCGCCGGCTATTATCACAATTGAGGTCTAAGAACAATGGATTTCCTTAATGGAAACCAAAATATGAGTTTCTCCTCTCATGCTTTCTGGTGTTTGCCCTTGCCAAGAACAACAATTTCTGCCACAAAAATGGAAACAGGGGCTGCAGTTATGTGCATGCACATAACTGTTTGCTACCAGCTTTTCGAATGAAGACTGAATTCAACCCTTATAATGTATCTGCATGATGAGGACTGTGATTAAGACCTGCAATTTTAGATTATTCCAGAAAGGTCTCACTAATAATTAAGAGTTTTAAAATAAATACTTGATGGAAAGCAACAAAAATTATGAAAGAGTAAATATGAAGACATAAAATATAATTTGAGGAAACACAGCGAGCTTTACTCTAAATACATTATTCATTCATCCGAATAATTGTTATTAACAATGTCAGAGTATCAAAAAACTTAATGACAAAAATAAAAACCAAATAATCCAATTTAAAAATTGTCAAAATATATAGACAGGCATTTCTCAAAAGACAGAAATATTCAAAACATACAAGAAAAAATGCTCAACACTAAAGATCATTAGAAAAATGTACATGAAAACCATAATTACATACAACTTAAGTGTAGGTAGAGTGGCTACCATCAAAAAGGCAAAAGATGAAAACTTGATGATGATGGAGAAAGGAGACCTGTTACATGCTGGTTGCATGCAAATTAGTGGAGCCATTATGTAAAACAGCATGGAGCTTCCTCACATATTCTTGCTTCATGTCAGGGAAAAAGCATGGAGGCTGAAGAAATAAAAGTTCTGCATGTGCAGTGAGGATACCTGCTCCAAAGCTGCATAAATGAATCCAGAATCAATGACATTTTAAATATGATTAGGCAATGAAAAAAAGATCCTCTTCTTAAATTCAGAAAGTATCTGTGTAGCCTTGGAATAGTTATCTTCTTTCCACTTGTAGAATTAATATCATTTATTCACATTGGATATTTCCTTCTCTTACATGAATCAATAAATTCATAACGGTAATCATTTTCTAATTATGGAGACTTCATATACCCAGCTCTGTTCTGCTGTTTTTCTTTCATACAAATGTTAAAGCAACTCCACGAATTATGAAGCCTCCCCAATTTTCACCAGAACAAATTATCTCAGTAAATTCATTAAGCTGTATGTCACTTATCAAATTAAAAATACATTAAAAATGACTTAAAAGTATTCTCTTTGAGACAGAATAAGTGGAGTTATATTAATTAAAAAATGACTTAATATGTTCACTGAGAAATTAATTTTCAAATTAACTTCTGAATACCATTAGATATTATAAAAATTATTCTAAAAATCCCCAAACAGGACATATAAACAAAATTTCATCAAGTAAGCCATACTAGCTCTTTCAAAAGTTACAGGCAAAAAAACCCATAGCATTCTGAATAAATGAGTTCAGTGTAAACATAGGTTTCTCATAATATGTGAGTTTTCTGGTTTTGTAGTAAATTATCAACTGTTTGGAATAATCTTTTGTATCAATACTTCCTTTTTCAATAGACAAACATACAAATTCACACCAATAGTATTTTTATAGTTCTCTTATGTGTAGAGTTTATCATTAGATTGTAATATTTGTATATTTCAGTTAATGTAAATGAATACCAAAGTTTCTCTATGCTTTGTAGGCTGTGGAAAATAATTAGAAGGTAAAGTTTTATAAACTGTAATTCAGGTTCAAAAATCCAGGGCTTTACCATTATACTCCTTTAATCATTACAATTTTCCAGTAATTACTAAAGTATGAGAAATAAATAAAAATATAATTTACAAGAATAAGCCCAGCTTGGTGATACACACCTATTATCCCAATACATTGGGAGGCTGAGGTAGGAGGACCAAAATTCCAGACTTGGCAACTTAGTAATTTAGTAAAATCCTGCCTCAAAATAACAACGCAAAAGCCCTGGGTTCAATCCTCAGTACCACAAATAAATAAATAAATAAGCTCAAGAAAGTATTTAAAAAACCTACTGTATATTCTTTGAAAAAAAGTTTAAAACTTGTCAGGAAGCAATCTTATTCTGCTGATACAATGATCTATTTGAGAGTTGTTCAGTTTTCAAAAAGTGAAGCTATTTAAAAAACATGGATTCACTTTAATTTATATCCTTTCAAGGAGGCATTACCTGCGTTATTTTCTGACAGTGATGAGAACTGATTTCTTTTTACATCAACTAATGATGTCTAGCACATTTTGAGCAAGTTAGATTATGCCACATTTCCTGTATTTGTAAGGTTTCTCTCTAGTTATCTTACATATATTATAATCATACATACATTAAAAGTTTTGCTGATTTCTGTAGATTTATAAAAGTTTTATCCAATTAAAATATTTTTAGGTTCTGAGTTCTACAATTTAAACTGTATCATTTTTAATAAGGACTAAACTTCCACTAAAGGCTTTACCACATTCTTTAAATTTCTAGGGTTCTCTCCAGTATGAATTCTCTGATGTTGAGTAAGGTTTGCAATTACTAAAGTCTTTACCAAAATTTTTACATTTGTAAGAATTCTATGCAGTATGTGTTATCTAGTGTTGAGTAAGCTTTGAGCAACAGGTAAAGTGTTTGTCACATTCTTTCATCAGCAAGGTTTCTCCCTTTCATGAATTTTCTGATGTCGAGTAAGGTGGGAACAACTGTTAAAGGCTTTGCCACATTCTTTACATTTGTAGGGCTTCTCTCCAGTATGAATTCTCTGATGTTGAGTAAGGCTTGAACAATTATTAAAGCCTTTGCCACAATGTATACATTTGTAAGGGTTCTCTCCTGTGTGAATTCTCTGGTGTTGAAAAAGTTTTGACTTTTCATTAAAGGCTTTGCCACATTCTTTACATTTGTATGGTTTCTCCCCACTATGAACTCTCTGGTGCCGAGTAAGGTGTGAAAAATATTTAAAAACTTTGCCACATTCTTTACATTTGTAGGGTTTCTCACCCATTTGCATTCTCTGATGCTGTGTAAGATTAGGACAGTTATTAAAAGCTTTGCCATATTCTTTACATTTGTATACCTTCTCTCGATTATGATTTCTCCGATGTCTATTAAGGTCAGAACGAAAGTTAAAGGCTTTGCCACAGTCCTGGCACTTGTAAGGTTTTTCTCCAGTATGTATTCTATGATGTATAGAAAGGCTTGAGAATGTATTAAAGGCCCTGCCACATTCTTTGCATATGTAAGTATTCTCTCTAGTATGAATTCTCTGGTGTTGATTGAGGGTTGAGCAATGGGTAAAGGTTCTTCCACATTCTTTACATTTGTAAGGTTTCTCACCAGTGTGAATTCTCTGATGTTGAGTAAGATTTGAACCATGTCTAAAGGTTTTACCACATTCTTCACAACTGTAGGGTTTCTCACCAGTATGAATTCTCAGATGTCGAGTAAGATGTGAACAACAATTAAAGGCTTTGCCACATTCTTCACATTTGTATGGCTTCTCTCCAGTATGAATTTTCTGATGTCGAGTAAGGTGTGAACAACACTTAAAGGCTTTGCCACATTCTTCACATTTGTATGGCTTCTCTCCATTATGACTTGTCCGATGTTGAGTAAGGTCTGAGCGATTATTAAAGGCATTGCCACATTCTCTGCATTTGTAAGGGTTCTCTCCACTGTGAATTCTCTTATGTAGAGTGAGGTTTGAAGAACATTTGAAAGCTTTGCCACATTCCATACATTTATAGATGTCTATATCTGGATTTTGATTATGCAATAACGGATGGGTAAATAATTTCCCATACTTATGAAAATTGTATAACTTGGTATAGGGAAGACCTTTTTGTTGATTGCAGAATAACAAACCTTTCATAAATGAACTAAATTGATTAAATTTAGGATTTTGTTCTTCACTTTTAAATCTATTGTCTACTAAAACAAATGCTTGAAAATTTAATCCAATCCTACATTTAAAATTTTTCAAGTGATCAACTGAAGCATGGACTGGTCTCATCTTTAGATTTCCCAAATTTCCTTTGAGAGAAAAGGCATGTTTCAAAATCTGATGTGAATGTTTACTTACAAAAACACATGGGTCTTTTAAAGCAGCAGGCATAAATTCAGATTTTTTTGGAGATACTATATGTTCTTGATCTCTGATGGCAGTGAAGTTTTTGCTTTCTTTAGTTGTCACAAATTTGTTATAACCATTATAACATGCATTCTGACCTTCAAATTCACCCATACCTTCCCATTCTTTTTTTAAGTGTAAGTTGTCATGGTCACAAATACTGTATCTTCCATTTGTTACATTTTGGAATGAGTGTTCTTTATCCTGTTCTGATGAAACATCTTGGGCAAAATGAGAAGACACAGCTAAAAGAGATCAGAATAACAAATTATGCCCAAATGAGACTCAGGTGCACACAGTTTACAAATCTAACATATATTAAAAGCCTACCAATGTTGGGCATGGTGGTACATTCATGTAATCCCACCACCTGGGGACACTGAGGCAGAAGGACTGCCAGTTTAATAAGCCCAATGCATGAAGTAGTGGGAAAGTGTTTTTAAAGGGGGCAGGGAAAAAAAGGGGGAAGGAGGCTGGAAAGCTCGGATATAGCTCAGTATAAGGACTGAGGGTTTATTCTCAGTACTGATTATATACATATATCAAGCTGAAGGTATCAATAGGACAGCACAATACTAAACATAAGGCCCTGTCTCCCGCCACAGATATATGAACCTAACAATAATATATTGACCAATTACCTTTGTGAAAACTCCAAATAGCAGTTAACTCTACACAGCACACTAGGTGACCACAACACAAAGGAGTCATACAATAGAGGGAAAGAAGGTTACTGGGAAAGTTTGCTTTTGTATAGCACAGCTCTTCTCCCAATACAGCACTGTGTAATTATGAAAAAACACTTTCTTCTTGCTCAAGAATGAAAGAAGATAATGTAACATATGGACATATTTCTGGTTTTTCTGGAGGCTGCTGAAAACAGATTTCTGTCTAGCCAGTTTAGGAAGTTACAAGGATGAATTCATTAAAAGTTCAGGCCATCTGAAACAAGAGCGATTATTACATTAGCAAAAGATAGTAGTACCACAGTCAACAGCAGTAGGAGAAAATGAAATTTCAAGATCTTTTTAACTGGAAACACATAAATAAGTCTAGAGACACATAGGTGAAGAAAACAAGTTTCAGAAGTAACTTCATAAGTAGGACAATATTCTAATTAGAACCATATAGTTTGTCTATCTTGCTTCTAATTTGAAAATGCTTTGTCTCTTCTCTTTAAAGCCTTGCCTGCATTAGTTTCCATAGTAACTGCACTACCCGCACATCTGTACACATATAGCACCTTTACCCCAACTGATGAACAATAAAAATCAGCGGCTGTGACTGAGGTCTTTTGCTGGGTATTCAGCATTGGCCATCCCAGTCCCTGCTTCCTCTCTTAAGTTCTGTCTTTAATGTATTTTTTTCTTCAGCCTTGCATCGCATACTGAACAGGAGACTAGAACCTAATTGGGCTGGGGATTTAGCTCAGTGGTTCTGCTGCCTGCCTCACAAGCACAAGGGCCCGAGTTTGATCCCCAGTACCAAAAAAAAAAGAACCTAACTGCAGGGGTCTCTAGCAGAAAATAAGAAGATAAATGGAAGAGAAGGATATTTCTCTTTAGATTTAACAGCATTACGAACATAGGGCCAGACATATACTCCTGTGATAGTGAGAGGAATAAATTTTCACTTCTGAAAATCATTTCTATTGGAACAGAGCTTCTGAATCCACATTTTAAAGCCTAATTTCCTTTTTAGCCTTTGGGTCTCTCACCTGTGTTTTCTGCTTCACCATTTCCACCTACCTGGGTGTATTGCTACTGTCTCTTGTCTCTTCACATTCCAGGGCTCTCTGCTTTGCTCCAGACAGGTGATCATGTATGGCTTAGAGCCAGCAAGACCTGTTTATTGGAAAATAGTAAATGACACTTGCTTTAAATTTTTCCAGCGACTACTGACATTTCTCTCCTAGTATGTACTCAATATAAAAAAGACATAATAGTAAAACATTCAAGAAAATTATCTCTCCAGATACAATTTCCATATTGATTCAATAGAATACGTGGAAAGCAGTTCCAATTTGTGGATCCTGAGTTATACTTTTAACTATTACTAACTCAAAGTTAAAAGGGCAAAACTGGGCTTTGAGATTATAGGCAGTAATATTTTATGCCACTGAATTTCTAGTATTACCATGGATCGAGAGTGAAGGATATATGATACTTCAATTAAAAAGCAGCTGGGCTTGGCAGTGCATGGCTGTAATTTCTGAGGCAAGAGGATCTCTGTGCCAATCTGGGGCTACACAGTGAGTTCAAGGCTACCCTGAGCTTCAACCCTGTCTCAAAAACAAATGAAAAAACAAAACAAAACAAAACAAGGAACCAAAGGGCAACAATAACATGAAAATTTTCTTGTTTCTATCAAGAAATCTCTATTTTTATTTTGAAAGCAGATATCTGAAACTTATTCTTGCAAAACAGAAGCCTCTAAGAGATATTCTAAAGAGGGAAAAAAATTAATTGTTAACAGTGAAAAAGAGATTATGTAGGGAAGTTATCCTCACCCAGGGAGACAAGGTTTCCGTAAGTCTCCAACATCACATCCCTATACAAATTCTGCTGAGCAGAATCCAGGTCTTCCCACTCCTCCAGAGAGAAATCAATGGCCACGTCCCTGAATGTCAACAGTTCCTAAAAGATAAGTAAATAAATAAATACCACATTAACTGTTTGGGCGATGGCTCTATTTTTAATTTGAATCAACACAAAATGAAAAGGGGAAAACTGATCCTGACATAGGTGAAACATAAAGGCCAAAACAAAGTGTCAATGTTAAAGGATGTTGGGAGCACTTTTTGTAACTGAGAAGAGTAGTGGAAGCATGTTAAGAAGGCAGCAAAACAAAACTGATCATATGCTACTTATATTTTATGCACACATTAAAGACAGCTACACAATTAAAAAGTGAAAAAATTCATGTCAGTGAAACGTTATTCATACCTGTATATTTTGGCAGTTGAAGGTTCTAGATAGAAAGTAAATTCTGCATATCTCTATTCTTCAGATGTACAATTAACCAACCGTATTTTCAATGAAAATCTAGGGTCCTAACACATTCCTGTGTCCGTTTGTTTTAGTGGCAGACAGAATGCAAGAGTGGTGCGATTAGGGAGGTTTCCACCCAGATTTCAGAAGAAACCCTTGGAGCCAGGCAGTACGCCCATGAGAGGGCAGTGCATGAAGCTGTAAGAATGAAACCAAATGTGGAGTGCAGATCCCAGGAAATTGTAAATGCCAGAAATTGTGGAAGGTGTGCTGAAGAAAGCCACAAGCACTCCTGCACAAGAGAGGCCACAAGGGCTGTGAACAGCAATGCCTTAGGGGTGAGTCATTCAAGCCCTTTGGACTTACATCTTGTCACAATGTACCCTGGATACTAGACATGAAGCTACCAGATTTAATGTCTGTTCTGTTGGGTGTCAGTCTTGGTTTGGTTCAATTTCTTTCTGTCTCCCTATTGCTCCCTTTTCAAATGGGGAAGCTTACCTCGTGCCATTTTATATTGGAAAAGTTTAACTTTCTTTTTCATTTTTATAGGGGCTTGCAGCTAAAAGTGCCTCGAGGCTCAGAGGTGACTCTGTATATGTGCTGCCAAAGCAAGGACTCAGAGACTTTGGACCTGGACTTTTCATCAGTGCTGGAACTCTTAGAACTTTGGTGACTCTTAAATAGACTAAATGTATGTTGCATAATGAGATGCAAATGAGTCTTTTGGGGACTGGGGGTGGAATATTAATAGTTTAGATACAGAATGCCCACAAAACTTATGCACTAGGGTTGGGGCTTTGGGAAGGCAATTGGATCATGGGGGAGCTGTACTCATCAATGTGGAAGAAGAGTTTTGAGCTGAATGTACTCTTAGGAGGCAGCACCAGGTTACGAGGCAGGTCACTGCGGCATGACTTAGAAGGGTGTACCTCCCTCCCTCCGACACCTCCCTTCTCCGGCCACCGTGATGTGGGCGGTATTTCTCCTCTGAAGAAACAGTTCAACTGCTCCACAGAACAGGTCATACAGTCTATTTGGTTATTAAAGGCCTCTTCTGTTGAGGTCACCTTTTGGTGAACACTTACATGGGACATATCTTTCATGTTCTTTGCCTATTCAGAGAAGTCTATTCACATATCTCCTGTCCCTCTCATATCCATGAGTCTTTGTCATCAATTTTCCAATCAAGTTCCAAGTCCATGACTGTCTTGGCCCGAGGCCATGAACTGGTGGTATATAGCTGCACATTCGGTCATTTGTCCTTCCAAGCAAAATGCATACCTGCCTAAAATTCTGCCCACTATGGTCCATTTCTTTCACCATTGTCCTTCAGACGTGAAACAGAAAGGGACTGTACTGCTATAGCAGGCTACTTTCAGGTATACCCCTCTATGTAAACCAGGCACTCTGCAACAAGTGGACACAACAGTCATCTACAGAATACTCTACTGAAAAGCTGTGGAAAACACATTTTTCTATATAGCACATAAGAATTCTCCGAGAGATTACATAATCGGTCTCAAAATGAGTCTGAGAAAAAATTTATAATTCAAATCATACCAAGTATCTTTCCTGCCCATAATACAAACTAAAAATCAATAAAAAAGCTTAGCTAATTGCACAAATACATGAGAATTAAACAAAACTTACATTTGAAGAACCAGTAGATTAAAAAATAAATCAAGAAAGATGTTTAACAATTTTTTGAAACAAAGAGAAATGAAAGCACAAGGTAACAAAACCTACAGGATACAGCAAAAGCAGTACCAAAAGGAATTATAGCATTCAAAGCCCAGATCAAAATAGTAGAAAGAGGGGCTGGGGATTTAGCTCAGTGGTTCCGCTGCCTGCCTCACAAGTACAAGGTCCCAAGTTTGATCCCCAGTACCAAAAAAAAAAAAAAAAAAGTAGAAAGATCTCATTTCAGAAGCCCATTTTTGGATTGGGTCTTTAAATGGTGTGTGTGGGGGGGTCTGATTTTTAAAAATTCTTTATATATTCTAGACAGTAGTCCTTTGAGGAACAGCTGGTAAAAATTTTTTCCCACATTGTAGGTTGTCTTTTAGCTCTGTTGGTGGTTTCTCTTTCTGTGCAGAAGCTTTTTAATAAGATGAGATCCCAGTTATTGATTCTTTGTGCTAGTTCCCAGGCAACTGAAGTTTTCTTCATAAAGTCTTTTCCTGCACCAGTGTCTTCAAGAGTTCTACTGAACCTATCTTCCAGCAGGTTTAGTGTTTTAATATTAGATCTCTGATTCATTTCTGAAATGAACAGACATTTCTCAGATGAAGAAGTAGAATCAGCAAATAAACATACAAAAAAATGTTCAACATCACTGGTCATTCGAGACATGCAGATAAAAACAATACTGAGATTTCATCTTACTCCAGAAAGAATGGCTGTTATCAAGAAATCAACAAGAAATTCTGGAGGGGCTAAGGGAGAAAGGAACCCTTCTCCACTGTTGGTGGGAGTGCAGACTGGTGCAACCACTGTGGAAATCAGTGTGGAGATTCCTCAAAGAACTAGGATTACAGGTCCAATTTTACCCAACTATTCCCCTGCTGGGTATCTTCCCCAAAGAATTAAAGGCATCAAACCACAGCAATATATGAGCACCCATGTTTACAGTGGCACAGTTTGTAATAGCTAAATCTTGGAAACAGCCCAAATGCCCATCAACTGGCATTTTTTTGGGGGGGAAAAATGGAGTACTACTCAGCCATAAAGAATGATAGACTAGAGACATTTATAGCTAAATGCATACACACTGAGGCGATACTCTTAAGTGAAGTAAATAGGAAACGTGTAAATACCTAATAGTTTCTCTGGTGTGAGAAACTGCAAGAGTAAATGAGGACCAAAATGTATAATAGATAATATAAAATAGGAAGAAAAGGTCCAAAAAGGAAGGGGAAGTAGGGAGGGAGATGGGGGAAGGAAAGAAGGGAAGAAAAAAATATTGAGAAAAGCAGCAAAAAATGGAAATAAAGTTTCTGTAAATGGGGAGGGATGGAAGGGAAGGAAAGGGATTGGGGAAAAAACAAGAACCAAGATATAACATGTACAGATACAAATTCTCAATGATGAATGTGATCATAATGTATACCTAAAATGTACCAATGAACTTAATGAAAAAAAGGCCAACAGCAAGAGGGGCAAATGGTTTTAAAACAACCAAAAAAAGTAGAAAGATCTGAAAGAAATAACTTACTGCAAAACTCAAGGAACTAGATAACCAAGAATAATCATACCCCAAATTATCAGAAGAAAAGAAACAGTAAAGATAAGAGCAGAAATAAGTGAAATGGAAAAAATGGAAGAAATTGGGGAAAACTATATGAAAAAATATCAAGGAAACAAAGTGGCTCATTGAAAAGATAAATAAAATAGAATAACGCTTTGATTAAAAAAAATACTCAAATGACTGAACTCAGAGATGAAAAGGGAAATACTACAATTGACAATATAGAAATACAAACATCTATGACTTATATGAGGAAACGAGTCAGTGGGGAAGGGCTATGGGGTTGAAGCCTCACCCTTCTCTTTCCTAGTCCCCTATCCCTGGGGCCATTTGTCATTTATTAAAAAATAATAAAATAATTTTAAAAATAAAAATTACAAAGTATCATTACAGATTACTGTGTACGAATATATGTCAACAAATTTAATAATCTAGAAAACACAAATTCCTAGATACATACATATTACTGAGACTGAAACACAAAACACAGAAAACTTGTATAGACCAGTAACACGATGACTGAATTTAAAAATCTATCACAGAAAAGCCCAGGATAGAATAGCTTCACTGATGAATTCTACAAAATATTTAAAGAACTAATATCAATTCTTCTTCAGTTAACAGAAGAGGAAGGAATTCTAAACACAATCTATGAACAACACTTCTCTGACACCAAAATCTAAAGAAAGTCAACAAAAAAAGAAACTTTAGGCCAATAACATTGATGAACATAGATGCAAAAATCCTCAACAAATACTAGCAAACAGGATCCAACAGCACATTAAAAAGTATTTACTATTATCAAGTTAAATGTACCTCAGGAATGCAAGGATAGTCCAACTTAAATCAGTAAACATGATACATGACATCAACAGGATGAAGGACAAAAAACACATCAAAGGATGCAGAAAGAATCTGAGGAAATTCAATACTATTTCATGATAAAAATATTGAACAAACAGCCATGGAAGAAAGGTACCTCAACATAATAAAGGCCATTATAAGCCAACAGGAAACATTATATTGAAGTGGAAAACCTAAGCTTTCTCTCTTGGGATGTTGAAATGTGCTAGGATTTTTTTTGGATAAGACCACAAAAACCCATAAAACACTAGACTATTCAATCACAGACAAGAAAGAAATTCTATAATTTATGTCAATGGGAAAACAACTGGAGACAACATATTAAGTAAAATAGCCAAGCAGAAAGAAAAGTACTGCATGGTTTTACTTATATGGGAATCCAAGAAAGATGACCTCATCAAACTTGAGAGCACAACTGTGATGACTCAGGAGTAGGGTGGGGGCATGGATGGGTAAAAGTTATCAGTAGGTGCTACATTACAATTAGATAGGCAGAAAAATTTCTGATGTTGTATTGCGCAGCAGGGTAACTATAGATAATAATGTACTGCTGTGCATTTAAAAAACTACAGGATAGGAATTTGAAAGTTTTTACCATAAAAATAAATGTTCGAAGAGATAAATATTTCTAAACTACTATAATTTAAACACTATCCAAACACATATATATATGTATTGGTCAGCTTTTAGCTGCTGTTCAAAATACTTCAGAAAAATATTTAAAGATGAAAAGTCATTATGAGTAATGGTTTCAATGGGTTCTGTCCACGTTTGGGTGGTTCCATGGCAGAAACATGATGCACAATGGTATTGTGAATGAAAGCTAGAAACCTCACAGCAGTCAGGAAGCAGACAGCAAAGGAGAAGGTCAGAGAAATGCATGCCCCCAGTGACCTACTTCTTTCTACCAGCTCCATTTTTGACTATCCTATTCAGCCATGAATTCATGAATGGGTTATTCCATTGATAAAGATAGTACCCTCATGATTCAATCACCTAAGAATCTTATAACCTGATCAGATTAATAATCAAGATTGATTATTGACTCACATCTCCCTGAAACACAACTATTTACCAAATAAACACAATAACAAGGTCATAATTCTGCCTAATTGATGCTAATACTGTCTGTACAATGAAAAATGCATGAAATCTCATCAGTTCCAGCCTGCTCAAAACAGTCTCTGAGACTGAAGACAACTCTTAGGTGTGAGCCCTTGTTAAAAGAAAAGCTGCGTACTCCCAAGACATGATGGCGCAGAGTAGATGTTACTATTCCAAAAGAGAGGAATAGAGAAATAGAAAAATATCTGACCAAAGCAAGACCAAACCCATCAGGGCAAACATTAACTCCTGCTGATCCATCATCGTCTTATCCTAGGTATATGGTGGGAAGATGCAAGCTCCAAAGGGTTTGGTCAGCCCAGCGTCTGAGGCTTTCCAGTTGCATTTCACCTGGCCTATCTCTTGGGCTGCTCACTGCCTGTGGTTTTCCTTGACATATATTCCAGGTTCCTGGCTTCTCTAATTTCATGGGGTCTCTACTGCAGCTTCAGTTTCACTCGCACACTTTCATCCACTGCTTTCTCTCATGGGCATGCCATAGCGATTTAGCATAAGTTACTTCCTCTTAAGGTCACCTGAAGCCATTTAAAAAATAGATCTTTGTGTTAGGGTATCAGCAAGATCAGAGACAAATTTGCACTAAACCAAGATAACTCTAAGGGGCTGTGACCTCATGCCAAGTTTACGTTTTTTGCATATATTTCTCCGATGTTCAATTTCTTTTTCCTTTACCAGTTTAATTAATGAACTCCAACAAAACTCTTTAAATACAATGTAAGCAAGCTGAGTAAAAAATGAACAACATATCACAGATAGATTCATTTTGTTCTTAGAATCATACAGAGGACTCTGGAATTACAATACCTGGAAGAGAAGGGCACTAGGAAACACACTGGTCAATTATATTAACTGTGGTACTGATTTCATGAATGTGTGCATCGATCAAAGAAAATATCTATCTTAAATATATGCAGATTATTATGTCAATTATACTTCAACAAATCTCTAAGAAAAAGGATGCACATAAACCTGAGGTTATAAAAGAAAGATACAAACTTAAATAGATAAAATAAAAAATTAAGAATCCATTAGCTAATCAACTCTCAGTAGCTTAGAAAGGTCAAATTTTATAAGAGTGAAGACAGTCCTTAGTAAAAGAACAACCTTTAACTATATTGAAAATGAACATACCACAGAGAGCAGCAATGCCAAGCACTGGTTCTTTTTTTCTTTTTGGTACCAGGAAGAATTACATATTAATTACGTATTATATAATTGCAACTTACACACACATGCCTCAACTTACAGGGGGTACATTCTGGGAAAGGCACTGTTAGATGATTCATTGTGCAAATATCACAGAGTGTACTTACACAAACCAGATGTCAACAGTCTACTATGCACTTATGCTATGTAGCCACAAGAAATCCATCATTAAAAAGCCAGGCATGGTGTTACATGCCTATAATCCCAGTACTTGGGAGGCTGAGGCAGGAAAATGTCAGCAAGTTCAGCCTAAATTACATAGTGAGACTCTGCCTCAAAGGTCAAACAAAACAAACATATGAAAGAAAGAAACCCATCACTGACCAAAACATCATTTTGCAGCACATGATTGTATGACATAAACCAGCATACATCTGGCAGAGATTAAGAGACCAGCTGAATTAAAAACACAACACTTAAAAAGACCCTTGCCTTTTAGACACATAACAGAGACTGCACTGCAGAGGAACAGGAAAAAGATTCCCTTCTGAATGACAGCTGCTGGGAAAATATGGTATCTTTGTGTCAAAAAAAATGCTACTGTATTATTTCCCAATACCACATAATCACTTTCAGAGGTGGTAAAAACCCTAAATATAAAAGCAAACTATAAGACATTCAAAAGTTGTTTCAGGAATTTATTTTTAAATAAATAACGGCATTAAGTATGAAAATATGCATAAATTTGGACCATTAAAATACAAATTCTTCATCAAACAAAATCATTATAGGGTACAAAGAGAAGTACCAGACTGGGAGAAATTTTCTGCCTCACATATGACCAAACACTTGGAAAAAAAGAAAGGAAAGGTCAGAGACTCCAGAAGAAAGGCACTTTATGAGATTTCAAATGTTCAACAGTTATCAAAAAGCTCAACATGTTTAGGAATCAGAGAAACATAAAATAAAATAGTATCAGATGGCCAGACAAACACTACTGATGAAGACATAGAACAACTGAAATCTCATGAACTGAAGATGGATGGAGAGTTGCTATTATCCATTTGGGCAAACAGCTTGGCTGATATTCCCCTACCATAGGTACAGATGTACAGAAATTAGTGGACATGTGTATCATAATAACATATGAGGATGTAGCAGTATTGGTACAAAGAAGTGAAATCCAGCAGGTGGGCACAAGAGAAACTACATTCACGAAAGAGATATAATAAAGTGGAGGAGCACTTTCTGTGACCCAGCCACATTCTAGGTATTACAAATCCAATTCAAACCTAGTATAAAACTCCACATCAATTTTATGTAGCTGTCACTTGTATGAGATATTTCACATGTCTGCATGTTTTAAAAAGGAAATATGCAGGGCCAGGGATTTAGCTCAGTGGTACTGTGCCTGCCTTGGAAGTGCAAGGTCCTGAGTTTGATCCCTCGTCCAAAAAAAAAAAAAAAAAAAGGGAATATGCAGAATTTATAAAAAATAAAAATTTACAAAGGCACATAGAAAGACAATTACATGCACCACGTTCAGATGAATAAAATTCATTACAAAAGTGACCATTTCCCTCTGATCTATAATCAAAATTTCAACATGCATAATTTGTTACAGAAGAGACCAACACCTAATAATTCTCAAATTCTGTCGAAAGATGAAAAAATATGCATATATAAAATTAGTCCAGGGCTAGGCACGGATTTAGCTCAGTGGTTCCGCAGCCTGCCCTGCAAGCGCAAGGACCTGAGTTCGATCCCCGGTACCAAAAAAAAGAAAAAAACCAGCAACATAACATTAGACAAAAAACTTCTGAATTATGAGTAACATGTAGCTGTCATCACCTGACACTAACATATATTATGAAACTATATTAATGCAATAACAAATACCAAGGAATAACAATACAAACGAAATCCAAAGATAAATCCATATGGATGTAAGAAATGTTTGTATCGATCAGCGCAACAGAGACGCCAATATAAACCGAACCACAGCAAGAATAGCATTAAATGAATGGATTAAACAACACAATCAAAATGGCAGAGTTTGGGGCTAGGGACACAGCTCAGTGTTAGTGTGTGACTAGAAGGTCTTAGGCCCTGGGTTCAATCCTCAGTACCAAAAATAAAGGTAAAGAATACGTGCAGAGATAGAATTTAAGGAATTTGTTGCTAGATCTGGGAGAAGCTTGGGTAGTAGCGGTAGCGGCGGTGGCGGCGGTGGCGGCAGCAAGGCTCTCAGTTTGAGACCCACCTTCTTATACACTAAGAAAGCTCAGGAGAAAATGAGTGACCCCTGAGAAGGAAGGAGGGCCTTGGGGACCCTGTGACTACCGCTCCTCTAACACAGTAACACCACAAGGAAGTAGGGATCCGAGGATCCTCCAGGTCACCACTACACCACCTGGGGAGATGCAGGGCTGCAATGCAGCTCTGCCAGGGAGGGGTTAGGTGGGGTGTGAAGTTGCTCTGCAGGGCCAGGCAGTACTACCCGATGGCCAGCCCCACCCAGAAGCCAGAGCGACCTAGGCCTCAGCTGCTCCCTCTCAGGCAGGGCGGAGTCACCCCTTAGGGACTGGACAGGACGCCCGGGGCGCAGCTGCAGTTCATCCTCCACGAGAGGAAACCTGGCAGCCCAGGGAGGACTGGGGCCTGCAGACTTCGGGGCCGACAGCAGAGGTCCTGCGCCGCCACGGCGGGTTCCGAGGGTTCCACACCATCTCTTCCCCCGTCTCTGAATGCCGTAGCACACACTCACCATTTTCGGCTTCCGGGGTTCCAGCGATCTCCCGGTGGATCTGCCACCGACGCAGGTCACGGGGCGAAGGGGAAAGAAGCAGAGTCACGTGAGCCAACAAAGCGGAAGAGAAGACTCGACCCTAAAATGGCGCGGTCCGGATACAAAGGCCCGGGAGTAGCCCGCCCCTTCCGCTCTGGTTGTGAGTCTGATTGGACAGTTCTCAATTGCCCTCAGCCTCTGAATGACAGTAAATGACACCAACCCGTGGTTGAGAAAGGCCATCAAAGCACGTTCTTGGCTGCAGCTATTTTTTTTCCTTGCTGTGCTGGATATTGAACCCAGAGACTGTGGCTGGAGTTATTTTTAAATGAGGACTTCCTTCATGTAAGGGTTCATAGCCTGACACGGGGATATTTGTGATTAATCTATATATAAGCTCATATCAATTTACTAATCATATATATGTATGCTATTCACAAATGAAAGGAATATGGCAGTTATTTCAAAATTTCACTTATCTGGTTTCTAGTCTTGTGAAGAGATAGTTTAAGATTTGAAATGGAAAATAATCCACTGAGGCAGCAGTATCCAATACAAATAAACTGTGATGCAGAAAAACAAACAAACCTGTGATGTAATTTGTAGTATTTCATAATTCACATTAAAAAAATTAAGAAACAGGTGAAACTGATTGTAACAACTTAACTCAATATATCCAAGATATTACCATTGTAACATATAATCAATATAAAATTATTAATAAATGCATATATATGTATTTGGTAATACATCTTTTGGGGGGTACCAGGGATCAAACTCAGGACCGCGAGCTTGCTAGGCAGGTGCTGTGCCACTGAGCTAAATCCCCAGCCTGGTAATACATCTTTAAAATTCACTGTCTATTGAAAGCCTGGATCTCACTTCAGAGCAGCCACATTCCAACTTGGAGAGCTATGACTCCCCTCACCCCCGCGAGAGGAAGGCCCTGAAGCCCTTCCTTTTATGTCAGAGGTGAAAGAATACACATCAATATTCATACTCATCACAAGGAGAGGTAACCCGAATTTCGTATTTTATATTTTTATTCTGCTCTACAAAAGACCCTGTGAACATACTCAATTTCACCATCTACCTACTGGAAGAAGAAATTGTAGTAAATTGTATGTGTAATAAAACAAGATTAGCATGTAGATATATGAAGAATTCTCCAAACTTAACAGAAAAAAAAGAGAACATGAGCAAAAACATTATTAAACACTGCACCAAGAAGTATATATAGATGATAATTAAGCACAAGAAAATATATTAAATGTCATTTGTTATTAGAGAAATGGAAATTAAAACCATAATGAGACATGGGTATTAATTTAACAGCCTGACCAAAATAAAAGGGAGAACATCAGTAAGTGACAGTGAGCACAAAAACTAGATAACATAAATTCCTGATAGGAATCTAAAATGCTACAAGATCTCTGGAAAACAGTTGGCACTAATTAAAAACTAAACATGCAGCTATTATATGAATCTGCTAGTGTGCTTCTAGCTACTTATCAAAGAACTATGGAAACTTATGCTCACACAGAAACTTCTAGTCAAATGTTTACAGTTGCTTTACCATAAGCCAAAACTGACCAAAAAAATCTACATATTAAAGAAACTATAGTACATCATTACTGTGGAATACTACTCAGCAATAAAAGGAAATTTGTCATGTGTATACGTAAAAATCTGTATGGTTCTCCCTGGAATTATACTGAGTGAAAAAAGCCATTCCACAAAATTATACCATTGCATAGTATAAAACAAAATCTGGCTGAATACTGTGACATGTTAAGGTCCTCTCCTCTATTTTTCTAGCTTTCAGGGGCTGAAGTTTGCTGAGCTTCTCATGAGAGTCTTTGAGGTGTGCCCTCATGTACAATCTACCTCTAGGCAAGGGAAATCCAGTTCTCAGAAGTGCGGCCCTGATACTTTGCAGAAGCCAGGCCCTGAGTTGTGTTTTTACCTTCTGGAATGCAGCTAATCCTTTCATTCTCTTCTCCCTCCAGCTACTTGACACATGGCTGGATTCCTGGAAGGACAGCAGAGCGGAGATGGGCCATGTGTGCCTGTGTTCTTGCCTTCACTGCAAAACTGAACAACTGCAAAGCAAGCAGGTGTCTACCCTCAAGCTCAGGCCCTGCTGTCTCCTGCACTCACCCTGCACCCCACACTTCATCACAGGTATCACCTGGCCTTGGGGTCACTCAGCCTTACCCTTCATTTCCTTGGCTGGCCACATTCTCTATCTTCTCTTGTACATACATCTTGTTTTCTCCTTTGTCCTCCTTCCTCTCCTCAGGGACATTCTCTGTTTGGTCTTCTCCCTCCACCAATTCAGTTCTGTTCCACCTGGTTCTACCTGCACTCATCTCAAGCAGTTACACAGTCCTTACCTCATGTCGGGCACTGCGCTAGCTGCTAGCACAGGTGCATGGATGACCCAGATGGTTCTTTGTCCTCCTAGACCTTACAGAACACAGGAAGGGTGAGGCGTGCATACAGCAATCTGAAATAGAGAGTAGTGTTGTGCACACCAAATGTGGTGGGAACGAAGTATCAAAACACAAAGTACTGCAACTGAGGGTCTCAGGGAAAGTTTCATAGAATAGGAAAAATTTGAGTGGAAGGGGCTGGGGATTTAGCTCAGTGGTTCTGCCGACTGCCTCGCAAGCACACGGTCCAGAGTTCTATTCCCCACCCCCCCAAAAAAATTGAGTTGAAAGATGAGTGGGAGGCTAAGAGGCAAAGAAAGGGGAAGAGTCTAAGGTTATTCCCAAACTGTGATCCTACAGAAAGTCCCCTGTTTAATTCCATTTAGAGACTGGCTCACGCAGGCCCAGCAGCGTCCACTAGGTGACACTGCTGCACCTATCTCCCTGCTTGTGTCTTCCAGGCTAGCAGGGGCCAGGATGCTGCTCTTTTCTTCAGCCAGGGGATTGTGCTTCTCCCAAAGAAAGCCCTTCTGCAGCCTGAGCTGCTCAGGTGCCTTCCTGCCACTCCTTTCCTGCATCCACCACAGAGGTATCAACTCTCTGTCTTACAATTTAAAATGAAATACGTATTTTTAAAAGCAGAGAAAAGCAAAAATCAGAAAGAAAGTAAATCATAATTTCACCAATAGAGATTTGTGTTGGTATATATCTTTAGAATAGTCATTCTACATATAGATTTTACTTGTGTGTATACATATTTTTAAAACAAAACAAAAATGATATTATCGCTACAAGTTTTATAATTTTTTCACTCAGCAACAAAATGTGATAAACATTTCTCCTTGTCAGCAAGTATAGATTTATTGTACCATACTCCAGCATCATTGCATTCCAAATACATGGTTTATACTACATTTCCTAAAACCATCCCTTTGTTAGGGATTTAGGCTGTTCCCGGGTTGTTGTTTTTTTCACCTCTGTTCTAAACAGTAGTGTAGTAAATATAACCAATTCTCGGCCCAGGGATTATTCCCTTAGCCTTCCCACCCTGGAAAGCACTCACTGCTGACAGGCTGCTGGGACCCTAAAGCAGTGTATCCTGGCCTTGGCTGCCTGCTACAACCACCCTTGTAACTTTCTTACCTTTTCCTCCTTTTCTTTTTGTGTCTAAATGTGTCGATTTTTATTCATTTAAAGTTTTTATAGTTATTATTGTTTTTGATGCTCAAATCTTCCCAAACTCACTGGTAGGAGCACCTCACTTATGTCCTTTGAACAGGACCACCACCATCTTGGAATGCCTTCTTACTTTCCGACTCAACAAAATATCCAAGACTGCAGTTCCTTTCTGCAGAGGATGGTAGGTAGAAATCTGCTTTCTAGGATGACCTAGTGGCCTGGATGATCACTGTTTGTGGGCCATTTCAGAAGGGAGACCGGGGAATGTGTTTTCAAAAGTATGAGCCTGTACTGACAGTTTTAAATCAAAATAAAAGAATGAATTTGTTTGATCTTACATTGCACATCTTTTTCTCAGAGCAGCCAGATCATGGTGGAATAAATAAATGTATACTTACTGACAAGGAAAAGTGTTTATGACATTTTGTTGCTGAGTGAACTTTTTCTTGGGCTACATCTCCAGCCCTTTTTCTCTTTTACTTTATGATAAAGTCTTGCTAAGTCACTAAGTGGCCCAGGCTGAATTGGAACCTGCAATCCTCCTGCCTCAGCTACCCAGAGTGCTGGGATTGCAGGTGTACACCACAAACCACCGGCTAAACTTTGGTTTCTTATTAAGTTAATGTAACTACCCCCTTGCTCTGTCCTGCAATATACTGAAAATACTTTCAAAATTATAATATAGTATTACCTCTAACAATTAATCTGCTGATTGAAGTTTCATTTCTTTGCCTTTGTTTTTTGCCTTGTCAGAATACAAAGTCATAAGAAATCACACTATTTCTATATGCTTATGTTATTAGACTGACAGGTCAGTAGACTTTTTTGTTGTTGTTGTTTCAGTTTGTTTAGAGCTTGCTTTTTTCCTTTTTGACTTAATCCTGTTTTTAAACATGTAAACATCAACATGATTCAAAAGTTAAAACTTTTGAAGATATATTCACTCTTTTTTGGGGGGTACCAGGGATTGAACTCAGGACCTTGCATGGCAGGTGGTGGAACCACTGAGCTAAATCTCCGGCCCCTAAGATATGAATACTCTTATCTCTCATCAACTTGTTCTCCACACCCAGAAAGAATAATTTCCATTAGGTAGTGCTCTATCTTTCCAGTGTTTTTTGTTTGTTTGTGTGTGTGTGTGTGTGTGTGTGTGTGTGTGTGTGTGTGTGCTATTTGGTCTGGGGGGAACTGCAAAAATAAGCAAATATATGCATCACTCTTCTTTTTCTATTTACATGAATGGTGTTGTGTTCAGTTGTTCCTTACCTGTAGGTCCTAATAATCACTTTCTAGTAGCACAGAGATAGTCTGCATGCTTTAGCTGGCTGCCTAGTTCTCTGCTGGGTGGAGGTAGTACAGCTCCTTCAGCCGGTCCCCTCCAATGGGCAGTCTTGCTATTGCAAATAGATTCCCAAGAAAAATCCTTGTGTACCTGTTAAGTGGTATTGGTGGGCCATATCTTCAGGACAGACTACTAGATATGAGATTTCTTTTTAAAAAGTAAAACTAC